TATTTACTGTACTGAGATTAGTTTATGACACCTTATATCTTAATTACTTTCAAAAAATTAGTTTATCGGTCAAGTCCAAAATCAATTTCTTACTAATATATGAAATAAGACATTGCAGAAATCTGAAATACTTATATACACATTGAGGCCAAAAACTATAGAAGTGAACAAAATACAAAACTATTTAGGAAAATAAGAAATTACGAGCATTGAAAATTTAAATTCGAGACAAATAGAACATTTGGAATGCGTAATCACAGTTCCAAATACGAAGTTTCCAAAGACCTTGTCTGGTGTTTAACGTGTAATCTTGTTCTGTTAAAAACAATAGTTTTAACTTTTAACCATACATCCTCAATAATTATTTTAGAATGATTATTATTATATTTTTGATGTACTAAAACCATTTCTTTCCTTTTTCTCTTGCTTGCATTCATAGGAAAAGAAAAATAAATGATTTCTATCGCTAAACTGTTCTTAATAGTGAACTTACATTTTATTATGTAGTATGGACTATTAATAAAGAGATTCCATTCAAAAATTGAGTATAATAACCGAACAAATCACTACTATAAAAGAGTCGAGATGCTTGCTTACGTGGCATTTGTTTGCATCTCTACCAATGGAAGGTTCAGTGACGTTAACAAAGTCAGCCCTTAAGGTCAAAACTGTAATGGAAGATTATATAGATGAAGCAGTTAAAAGCACATACAAAGCCAACCAAGCTCGTCCAAAAATAAATTAAAATCATTATCTTCCAACTAATTTGTTTTTTTTTTTTGGTAGGAATCTTCTAACTAATTTGTTATCATCAAAAAAAGTAATTTACTAGTATTCAAAATCTTTTGTTCACAAAAAAAAAAAAAGTATTCAAAATCCATATTAAATACCTTTTTTCTTTTGAGGGAAATATATAAATAACTACACCACAACTAACAAAGCAAGCTACCAGATGCCAAAATTAATTAGAAAGATTTCTTTTCTCTGACCAAACAAGATATCTGAATATAGTTAATTTAGTACCTATTTTTGAATGTAGATTATAATTTTAATAAATTCGAACGACAAGAATATTAATCAGAAGGGTAAGAAAGTAAATCTGTAAAATAAAGAATTAAAGAAAGATAGAGCACTCTACTTTAATCTTCCCTCCTTATTACACATCTTGGATCCATCTTCGATTTCAACACCTAAAAAAAGCTTATAATTAAAGAACCATAAAGAAGAACACAAAAGAAACTCTCACATTCTCAAGTCAAGAGTTTCTTTCTTCTTTCAATGGCTTTACTAACTTTCTTGCCGGAAAACGCAGAGGCGCCTCAAAAACACAAGCCACCGTCGAGCAAACGCAAGAAACGCGAGAATCCCACCGACCAAACGCAGCCGCGGAAACAGAAACCACACAAACCGCAGAAACCAAAGAAAGAAGTACCTCAGAAGCAGCCATCTTCATGGGACCAAATCAAGAACCTATTGACTTGCAAACAAATTGAAGGGTCAAGAGTCCATGATCCTTCCAAGAACTCACAGGTTGGTCCGTCCATGACCACTCATTTATCTCCTTCAAAGCTCGGCTCGTCGTGCAGCTCCATATGCAGCTTCAGAGACGTGGCTCACGGCAATACTCGTGTGGTTCATAGAGCTGATCACTCTCCAGACGTAGCTAACTCAGTTGCTCCTAACTCGGAGACTCGGCTTCTGACTCGGAAACCTGGTCAACACGGTTCTTCTTCGTCTCGGTCTCTTACATCTGGCTCAACGAGATCTAACGCCAGTGGGAGTTACACGTCATCGTCAACGACTTCGTTTAGAGCCATGCAGTTCCGTAAACTCTCCGGATGTTACGAATGTCACATGATCGTTGACCCTAGCAGGTAATGACAACAAAAATTAATGATGAGCAAGTAAATTCGTAGTTCTGGTTTATATTTTTGTAATTTTATATCATTCTCTTGAATTTTAGGTATCCGATTTCGCCTAGGGTTTGTGCTTGTTCCCAATGTGGAGAAGTTTTTCCCAAGCTTGAAAGCTTAGAGCTTCATCAAGCAGTTCGTCACGCAGGTAAGGTTTTTTTTCTTAAAAAAAAAAATTATTTGACTTTATCACTTACCTCAAATTATTTAATAACGCTTTAGCTACAATATTTTTGTTGGCGTGTGTAGTAGTCACATTTTTAAAGTTAACCCTAAGAATCTAGTGGGATTTTCGTAAATGCAAATTGCTTGGTAAAGTAAGATTATGTTTTGTAATCCTTGGAAAAAAAATTAAGATCTCAGTCCATGATTTGACTTGTGAATGATGATTCAACCTTTGTTTGTTTATAATTGATTGAATAATTAGCATTAACACATGTTTTCCGGCGTATAGGCACTTGGATTTATCGATAGATTTACCATAATGCTAAGCAAATAATTAACGAACATGCTTTCGTTATATATCTTAATTAGACTTCATTGTTTCTTAATGGAAGCAAGATCTCAATGTTATTGTCGGTGATTATATCGATCAAATAAGTTAGGATCATTTGGCCTTATGTGGCAGATTGTTTTTGGAGTAAAGATTCATACGTATTTTTAGAGAAAGATACGAAAAAAGAATAGGAATATAACTGGAGAACGATATATTCTATGGTCTCCAAATCTGTCGTTTTGCTTGGAAACACTTACCATGCGATGGGACCATTTGTACTATAAAAAGATACAGCTGTCTCTGCTCTTAACTAAATTCAATGTCCCCCTGATATTATTACGTGTCATTTTTCCATTCGACAGTATCAGAATTAAAACCCCCACCTGACAGAAACCGAAATAAAACTCTTGTCTTTAATGTTCCAAAAACTCAGATATTTGTATTGACTTGTGTGATTTCATGAGCAAAAACGTTGTCGTTTAATTGCAGTTTCGGAGTTAGGTCCGGAAGATTCGGGTCGAAACATAGTGGAGATCATATTCAAATCAAGCTGGCTTAAAAAAGACAGTCCCATCTGTCAGATCGAACGGATATTAAAAGTCCAAAACACTCAACGTACGATCCAACGGTTTGAGGATTGCCGAGACGCAGTGAAGGCGCGTGCACTTCAGGCAACCAGAAAAGACGCTCGTTGTGCCGCCGACGGCAACGAGCTTTTACGTTTCCACTGCACCACTTTAACTTGTTCTCTCGGAGCTCGTGGCTCTTCTTCTCTCTGCTCTAACCTCCCTGGATGTGGCGTCTGCACCGTGATTCGCCACGGATTCCAAGGAAAATCTGGCGGCGGAGCAGCCACTGCAACCGCTAACGGCAGTGGCGTGAGGACGACGGCGAGTAGCGGAAGAGCTGATGATTTGCTGAGGTGTAGCGATGATGCGAGGAGAGTGATGCTTGTGTGCCGTGTGATCGCTGGGAGAGTTAAACGCGTTGATTTACCGGCGGCGGAGGCTCCGTCTCCGGTGGAGGATAACTCGGCGGTTGGCGTTTCTACGAGTGGGGGTACGTTTGACTCGGTGGCGGTCAACGCTGGAGTTTATTCGAATCTTGAGGAGCTTGTGGTTTATAACCCGAGAGCTATATTACCTTGCTTCGTGGTTATTTACAAAGTTTTAGAATCTTGAATTTGTAATTTTAACTTGAGAAATAATGTTTGTTTTTAGTACTTCTAACTTTTTAATATGATAGAGATTAGGTTAATCATCAACCGGCATCATAAATCCCATCTTATTATTGACTATTAAGTGTAATTCTTAGGGTAGTATGTTGAAGGTTATCTTTATTATTGAAATCATGATTAGGTTAAGAATTCACTAGTAGAGTAGGTTAGAAAATCATGATTATGAATTATGATGAATTTATACTTTTTGACCAGTAAATGTAACATTTTGTTAACCAAGTAAATTTCATCGCTGTGTTCACACTTGGTGGGAATCAAATAGTGTGGGAGTGGCAGAGTGATATAATTGCTACCACATGCGTTTTCAGTAAATTGTTTTATTCACCCAAGTTCTTTTCGTTATTTTTTTAATTTTATAGGGAAAGCTGATTCTGATTTTTTAAAAGTTGGGTATAGTAGAGTTTTAATTTAGTTATTAGTGTTGTCAAAAAAAGAGCAAAAAAAAGTAGTTATATAGTATGGTTCAGATAAGTTCAAAATTTACCCATACATAATAAAGGGTTGCACGCTGAGAGGTTGCACCATTGGAACTTTCCTCGTTGTCAGAAGCTGCTACATTGTTTATTTTGTTAAAAAAAAATCGATTCTCCTTGAAGTTGCAAATGAAATCAGAGATTTAGAATCAAACCAGTTTAATATTCGAGTTTTCAGTTTTGCCACAAATATGTCGAGCATAGGTTTCAATTCAGAAGTTATATGAAAAGATGGACTTAAAGATGATCCAACTTTAGCAAGCAATGTTAGAAAATATACTTTAAAATACATATACATACATATATATATATATATATCCATTTAAAAGAAGATTGATTGATTAAAATGCTTACTGGGTTCGACGCCTGTTGGGAAGGATTTCTTCTCCGAAGGAGATGAATTTAATCTGGTGTGGATCCCGCCTCTAGGAGATATAGGGTTTTCGCCTCTTCGGGCTTGAATTTCTAGATATTCAAAAAAAAAAAAAATGTTTAGATTTGTTGTATTACATCTTTTTGTCGACAAATTTACTTATAACAGTAAAATTTGTTTACAAGGTTGTAGACCTGTAGATTCAATAGTTTGGAAATAAGTCAATAACATTTCGCTTGTTAAAGCCAAAACATTTAACATAGTGTTTGCTTACTGGTGAAGTCAAACATTGAGGCCTTTGAAGCTTTGAGTATCAGTAAATTCCAATGGGAAGGTGCTTGCCGCTTTTAATAGGCTTGTTAGCACTTAGCCCATTAACAAAATTGGGCCGAAGGTGATATACATTTTCTAGAATCCAGACTCAAAGGTCCACCAGTTGAATTCGACCCAGTAGTCTTTTATGTTTTTGTTTTTATAAAAGTATTTTTTTTTCTGGTAACATCTGCTTTATAAAAAACTTGACAAAGCAGTGGTTGATATCAAGAATCCAGTTATCAACTCCAAAATTGATCTTTTTCTTGTTAATCAAATCCATTACTTTTGCTATTTCCTTCAAAACATACTTTTATATAGTCTTTACTCCGGCAGCTTTGCATTGCAATTAAAAGAGCTTGGAGTTCACTTCCCTACTGCTCGATCAGAACCGACATTTTTATTATTATATATTTTCTGTCATTTTCTTGTTAATATCATTTTTTTTGGCAGTGTTCATATCCTTTATTTACAAAAACGAAGTGAAATATGAATCATTTCTTTTATCATGCATGTTTTTAACATTCACATGTTATATTAACCCGATTTAATGTTATTTTACATGATTTATACGCTATATGTTTTAACCGCCAAAAAAATTACCATTTTATTATAATTTTACCACAACATTATTTTACGAATAAGTTCTGTCATATGATGATCTCATTTAGCAAATTCACCCCTAGATAAAACTAATTGAATCAGTCGGATAAAATTCTCCGACATAGTAAAAGTTCACGAAACTAATAAACTATTGAGCTATTAATGAGTTATCCAGGTGGTTTAGTTTTAACTTTAAGGAAGAATTAAAGTGCAAGACATAATCATAACCGTCATAAAACCTAAGATTATAAAAATAATCCTAATCCAACAATCATTTCACCAAAAGCCTCTAATTCTTCTATGTTCTCTCCATGTCGCCTTCTCTCTAATTCTTTCCCTCAATGTCTGCCTTTTTTATTTCAGTACTTTTCTTTTGTTTAAATCAAACTCTTGTTTTGTTCTGCGAATAATGTTTTGAAGTTAAATGTTTGCTTACTGGTCCCAAAATATAATGTGCCCTAAAACTAGGTCAAAGTCAAGTGTAAAATGCAGGACCACAAAACTCTTTTTTCTGAATGTAATCACTAATTACAGCTTTAATTATGCGTTAATTATACTATCAGTCTATGATTAATCGTACGTTGATCAGTTCCTTGGTTCGTCTTTTTCTTTATTTTCATTGAAAGCTTTAAATGTAATATAAGGAAATTTCAGTCTAACTAGGTCCATGTGGTATCTTACGTTAGATTAGCATTTATAACAAAAGATATTGACATTTCTTCAAATGTTGCAGACATTTGTACACTTGTACTTTGATCAAAATTCTACGATTTTATTTATCATATTTCGTAATGCAGTCACATTTACAAGAAAACGTTTGAATAAGATATTTATATTAGCCTGTGGAGTAACGAAAAAAGAAAAGTTGCATAATCTATCCGAGTTCTAAGAACTAACGCATATTGTTGGGAAAAAAAAGAACAAGTAGATTTTTTGAACAAGGCTAATGCGTACTGGTAACTACGGAACCATAAACTAGTTTTTATTTTATTTCACTCCTGAAACTCTTGTCAATTTAAACAAAAAAAAAAATGGAGACAATTAAATAGGATTATGTTCATAGGATAAACACTTCTCAAGAAATTCTTTGGTGGTTTAATCATTGAAACACTCTTCTTCCTGTTTTTCCTCCTTGATGAATCATTACAAATTTACTTGCGATTTTTTTTTAATACGAAAACTGAATTCTTTATTAAATTAACAAAAACATATATACACACGAGCTTTTACCATTCATATAGACAAACCCCACAAGATTCTTCACCTTCAACAATCATCTTCATGAAGCTCTTCCACGGATTACGAAAGATTTTCATGAGGCTTATCGATCTCACTCTCCCTTCCTCCTCCCGCAGGCAGAAGAATTTCGTCCGCACCAACGACGAAGAGAGGTATGAGCCGCCGAAGATTTCGTGTAGTAGTTCGTACTATTCGTCTCACGTACACTACAGTGAAGCTATCGCAGATTGCATAGAGTTCTTCAACAAGTCTTCTGCTATGTCTTGTGAAGATCATGAAGCTCGCCTTGTTCACGATCACGATCGTGACTGTTTTTACGTTTAGTCAACATCTCAACACTCACTTATTTTCTTTGTTTTGCTCCAACATTTGCTTCGAGGCTTTGCTTTTATTTTGTTTGAGTTATTGTGATTTTTAAACTTACATCTTAGTCATTTTTTTTTCCCATGAACTTACATCTTAGTCAAACTATCATGGTTTAGAAGAAGAAACTAGATAGAAAGGGTGATTTCGGTTTCTAATTTTCCGATGATAAAAAATAGATTGGAAATTAGTTAAGAGTGAGCTTTGCAAAATATGTGTTGCGAAGTTTGTATGCGCAAATACAAATGTATAGTGAAGATCGTGCGGATTAATATTACGATTAAAATTTTCAAGAACAATTTACGAAAGTCATACATGTGACATTTATTATCAAAACCAAAAAAATACATAGAAGATAGTATTTCGGAAACCAAACTGTTTCATTGCAAAACCTTTTTCTTTGAAAAAATCCCTCCAACAAACAAAGGGATCAAACTCTTCTTCTTCTTCTTATTATTCTTTGTCTTCTTCTCCTTCATTTTCATCGAAGGATGTCTCTCAAGATACATCTCCACCGCGGAACCATTATTACCAGTAGGGTTTGCAAATTTCACGTATCTCTTCTCACTCATCGATCTCAACCTTGGACTTCTAATTGGTTCATCGTCATCCCGAGGAACTAACACTTCGAACTTGGTTTTGAAAAAAGTCTCGTCGAGTTTCGTTTCGGGTACACCAGGATCAACTCTCAGCTTCTGGAGCTCTTGTTTAGTTCGTTCAAGCTCTTCCTTGAGACAAGACAAAGAGTTTCTCATTTGTATGCTTTCTTCTTTTGCCCTTTTGAGATCATGTCTTGTCTCTTCAAGCTCTCTCTCAATCCCTGATGGATCTTCCCATTTCTCATCCTGCATCTGTTTCTTCACTAATGTTATTACCATAATTCTCCGATATATATATATATATATATATAGAGAGAGAGAGAGAGAGAGTGAGGGACTTGCCACCTTAAGATGGTTCGAGTAGACTTGACTGGCTAAGACTCTCTCGCCGAACAACGCAACGGCTTCTTTGACGGTTCTAAACGGTGCCGTTGTGTCGATCTCTGCTCTCTTCGTCGTCTCCATTATTTATGGCTAGTTAGTGCTTAATTAGCTCTCTGTTGCGAAGCTAAGAGATACATAAGCTTGCTTATAGCTTTGTGACTTGAGTGAGAGACGACGCAAAGCATATTATTTTCTTCAACTACACTTCTTTAAAATCCTCTTTCTTTTTAATTGTTTTTTTTTTGTATATATATAAAATTAATATTTATTCATAATAAGTGTTGTTTTAGAATTTTATTTTTGTTTCACAAAAAATTCCGTTTATATTTACAATGTAATATTTTTTAAAGTATATAATATTTGTATTCCTATTAATTCAGTTTATTAATTAAAGATATTAGGATTTTATAGGTCTTGATTGAAAAATGATCTTGTAATATTGTTAAAAAAAAAAAAAACAGTGTATCAGATTTTTGTAAAAAAATTTTGGTTCGAACACTTCTAGCTTTTACATAAGAATATAAAGTTAAAATTCCCTTATCCAAATATGTTTTTTCTTGAGAAGCTTAGAGGCTTATTGCACAAGAAAGTGAAAAGCTGCTTTTAAAATATACTTGGAAAGAGATTCGAAAAAAAACTAACATCTTTTTTTTTTCTTTTCCTGTGACTGTCTCTCAGTTCAGATAACAGAGTCGTCGACAAAATTTGCCTCTTGAGAACTCGTGTATCATTTATACATAGAAAAAACATTAAAAGGGGTTTCTCAAACAAGTGGGATTCAATCATCTCTCACTGATCACAATCCTTGTTCATCTGATTTTCATCACCATCTCAAATTACGACGAAGATAGAAACAGATCTCTGTTTTTTTTTCTCAACCATCTGTAAAATCCTTACAACTATTTAGCTATAAAGCAAAACAGGCAGCTTCACGACTGCTCGTTGCAGAGTAGTTGCAATGGTATCCTTGTATCTTCATAGATAAGTGGGAAATGGTGTTCTTGTCTGTTCATCACTGTCCGCGAAGGATTGTTATTATGGTGATGACTCATTGACATTGCTGCAGCAGCAGCCATGAGACGATGTTGCTGTTGAGATACATTGTTGTTGTACCTTGGGGAGGAAGTAACCTGAGGAGGTTGTTGAATACTAGTCAGGTTTAAGGAGAGGTTTGGTTTACTGTATTGGTTCGATTGCATGGTGTTTCCATTTGTTGGTCTGTACTGAGCAGCCCATAGCCTTTTTTGAAGCTGTTGCTGCTGCTGCTGGTTTGCGTTGTAAGCGGTTTGGAATCTACTTGCTAGATACGGAGAAAGCTGCTGCACCTGCAAGAAGAAAGAATGTTTTTGTTATATACTACTAACTGAAACCGTTACTTAAGAGGAAAATTTTTGCTCATAAGAGAGATAAATTAGGTCACCTGATGGCTAGAAGTTGCAGGTGAGAGCTGGCTATTGTAAGCTGCAGAGATCTGATACTGTGGAAACGAGTTTGGAAGTGGGAAATGAGATTGTGCTGCTCCAGCAGATGAGAGACTTAGGAAATCGAAGCTCTGTCATTAGAATAGAAGAAGAGATGAATCAGAGAGTAAAAGAATTAACCAGATAAGAACAGTGAAGTATATATTACCTGTTTCTGTGAAGTGTGCGGACCGTAGAGCTCGAGAGCAAGCTTAGTCATGTCTTCTTGCACGGGTTTTGGGTTATGCGTCCTGTGTATATCGAGCAGATGCGGGTTTTGATACCTCTTAGCTGGAGAAACCATTGTTTTAAAGTCATTAATGGTTATCACTGAATCAGGGAGCCTACGTTCTGACATTTCAAAAGATCTTTGCTCGCTTTGGTTAAGTGTCGTGGGACTACTCTTACTGGTCTGTAATACTTTAATGAGACGGGAAATGTAAATGTGAGAGGCACATCTCTTCAACTTTCTCGGCTGGACTCTTAATGGTTCACTCAAGAGTGAAGCACTATTGGAAGGAGAAACAGCTTGACCCATCCAAGGAGGAAGCTTTGTCGAAGATGACCTGATTGGAAGAAAAACCCGCATAAGAGAAGAAACCGAGCAGCACGAACAAATGTTCACAGAAAATTTAAAGGTTAAGAATTACGTTGAAAGAACATGAGCCCCTGAATGAACAGTTGTTGAAGATAGTCCAGGCCACAGCGCAAGACCTTTTAGAAGCACATAAGTCAGTAAGTGGACTGTATGTGATACAAAGTTTGTAGGTAGAATTTCTTACCATTGCTCTTATAGTCCTTGTCACTTGTTGCAACCTTTGTGTCATTGACCCTTGCCTAGAAATTTTCAGTGGAATTATTGTCTAATATGAACCTAAACCAAGAAAGTAAGATTCAGTTAGAATCAGAGTGCTTACAGGTGCATCATTCACATTCACTGAGCTGCTTTGCTTCAATCTATCAATGAAATCAACCATACTGTTAAATTAGACAACAAAAACCACCAATCAGAGTAAACTCGACAATTTCGAAAGACAAAGTTAAAACGAAAATTAGCTACAAACCCTGTTGTGCTGAACTGTTTATCAGATTGCTCTAATGGCATTGCATCAATCTGCTTAGTTTTGGCTGAAGAGAGAACTGACACAACCGGTTTAAGCGATTCGGCTTTTGTATAGTCATCTTCCACAACCAAAATCGAGTCAACTTTGCTGGTTTCTTTCTCATTACAAGTCTTCCTATCAGTAAACATTCCAGCTAAACCGTATAAAGTCTCTGCAACTTCTTTCTCATCTTTAGAAATTATCATCGACTCAGGAACAATAGCTTTTGCTTCCTATCCAAAAAAAAAACAATAATCATTACTCAAGCTTTTAAGTAAACTGTTCTATTCTTACAAAATTACAAGTCATCATCATAGAAGAAAACCAACCATTTCTTGATCCTTCTTAAGAGATTCGATCCCGGTTTTGGACCGGTTAAGTCTCTTTGAAACAGAGGATAGCTTAGAAACAGATTCAAGATTCCGCTTCTTCATGATCATGGCTGTAATTAAAAGTGAACAAAAGAAGATGCTAAAGAATTCACAAACTAGAGATAAAAGTGAAAAAGTTTTGAATTGGAGATGACAAAGACAAGCTTTAAAGAAAAGAAAGAAGATGAAAATAATAATATAAGTTGAAGATTGATCACTTTTGATTTTAATAAGTAGAAGAAAAAAGAAGATAAAAGACAAGTAGCAGAATCTTGCGTCCATAATAAGAAAGTGAGAAAGAGAAAAAAAAAAAAGCAAAAGGGTTTGCTTGAAACATAATCAAAAATCTCGACAGATTCAAAAGCCAAAAATACCATAATCTTCCCAACAACTAAGAAACTGAGTTGTTTTACTGACACACTTAACGATCACGACTATACAAAGGAAAAACCAAAAAAAAAAAAACATTAAAGTTATGAGTTTGTACAAGTTTTCTCAATGAGTCACGAACAACGCACCTGAACGAAGCTTCCGTGGTACAGAGGCATGATCCACACCATTAGTGTCTTTCAAATTCTAAAGATGAGAGAAAGAGAGAGAGAGAAATTTAATGTGAAAAAGACTAAAAGGTGAGAAATTTAAGGGATTATTGAGAGTAATTTAGGTGTCGTATTGATGAAGAAGTTACCTTTTTTGGAAGTTTAGATTTCTTCTTAGAAACCTCGTTTTCTAAATCTGGACAAGGCAGAGTCTCGTAGTAGCTCATTTCTTGTTTCAGTTTCTCATCAGCTAAACGCAGTTTCTTCAGCATTCCTTTCTTAGACTTTGTAGAAAACCCAGATCCTAAATCCATGAGATGATGGATACAACAAAAGTGAGACAAAAAAAAAAAAAAAAAGATTGGATTTTTATAATTTTGTTGGTTTCTGAAACTAAAAAGATGAAGAAATCTTTACCAGATTGTTGTTTATTGGAAAATCGATTGGTTGCTCCACGTCTCATCAAATCTCGACGACCCATTTCCATCTTCTTTTCGATTACTTTCTACTTTTATCTCAGCACTCAAGATAGAGGTGAAGAAGAAAGACTCAGTGATTGAAGAGAAAAAATCTTACTTCTTCTTCTTCGACATCTCTCTCTCTCTCTCCAGAAAGAAAAAAATCACACACTTTGATTTAGATAAATACAGAAAAGAAGAAGAAGAAGAGAAAAGAGAGAAAAGTAAAAAGACGTTAAAGAAGAAGAGGAAAAAAAGAGAGAAAAG